TATTTTCTGATATAGTCCTCTGAAAATATGATCCTCTGAAAATATGATTTAAATAGATTTTTTAATTTTTTATTTAAGCGTTTCTTTGGTACAAAAGGCTTTTACTGTAGTACTGAAATACTGGGATACTGGAATACATAAATGCTGGGATCTAGGAATACTGGAGTATTGGAATATTGAAATACAGGAATACTGGAATATTGGAATACAGGAATACTGGAATAGTTGAATACTAAATTACAGGCTTATTGGATTGCAGAAATACAGTAATACAGGAAAGCAGGAATACTGGAATACAGAAATACAGGAAAACATGAATGAAGGAATCCTGGAATACAGGGATACTGGAATACAAGAATACAGGAATACTGGAATATAGGGATACTGGAATACAGGAATACTGGAATGGCCGAAAAAAATATGATGCCCGAATACCTAAGATCACAAACACACTCAAATATTGTATGCTAAGCAGCTAGCCTAGAAACCCTTAACATTTTTTTTAATGCATTGCTTTTTATACCTTTTTCATTTCTATTTATTTTTTGGCATCCTTCTTTCATTCCCCTTTCTTCAAATTTATTCAACTATTGTTGTGCTGGAATACTGGAATACAGGCTAGGAATACAGGAATACAAGAATATACTGGAATACTGGAATTCTGGAATACAGGAATGCTGGAATACTTTAATATTGGAATACTGGAATACTGGAATATACACGGATACTAAAATACTAAAATTTTATATAATTTGCTTTGAGTTGCATAAAAAAAAAGATAAAAAGAGAGTGAAACTGAGAAGAAATGGTAAGATCAAAAGATTTTATACATTGCTGTCAGAATATTAAATTTCTAAAATTCGAATACCTTTTTTATAATAGGGTATGGAGTAGGGACATCCTGGCTGCTGTGAGCCTCCAAGATTTGTCATCCAGTATATTCGTGAGATCTGGGAATATAAAAGTAATTTTAAGTGACTCTTCAATCTTCATTCAATGATGGCAATGCCCGATTCACAACGATACCCTGAATACATTTGACAGGTCAAGGTTTTGGACTTATTCTCAATAAACTACGAAAACTATTTTGAATTTTTGAACACGTTGTTTGCAACTTGCAAGCTGTTTTAAGTTATATGAATATTTACTTTCTAGAATTGACAGAAAATCAATTTTGAATTTTTGGAAACTACTTTTAATAAAAAATAATTCGTAATGCAGCGTATAATATTTCCAGCGAACGAATCGTTCCGCGAAAAATGTTAAAATTTTCGGTCGCATTTCGCAAATTTTTTCGCGAAAATAAATGAAGCGAAAACGAAGCGAAATTTCGGGAAAATGCGAAAATTTCGCGAAATGTCTGATGTCTTATAGTCTATATTTATATTTTGTGTGAATCCATCAAGGGGCTAGCGGATAAATTCTTCTTTGAAAATGAGTCTTGTATATTCAAAATTTAGCCTTTTTAATAAATTTTAGCTAAAATTTTGCATTTGATTTTTAAAAACTCTGTATTTTTCGCATTTTCTATTTCGCACAAATTTCGTATTTTTTTGCAAAACAAATTGAAGCAAAATTTTGAGAAAAAAGCGAAAATTTTCACATTTTTTGCGTGCGAACGAAATGCAAAAATGAAGCGAAATAGTCGCGTAACACAAAGCTTTCTTTAATGATGAACCGTCCAAGGTTTAAAGGATATCGTTGTAAATGGGGCATTGCCCTTTTTGCATAAAGGGTCACTTTAAATTACGCTTACAGCCCCTTTAAAATTACCAACACAGCATGCTATTAAAAAGCTCCATTTTGACGACATTAATATCATAATAAATTTACCAAATACAAATTTAAACATTAAAATATTTTTTCTTTTACTCAATTTTTGGAAGAGAAAAGGGAACATCCCGGGCAGTGGGGGGTGGGGGGCATTTGTCTCAATATTGTGAATTTTGTGTTAATATCAAATTTGTAATTTTGACCGAATATATATATAAATCTTTCTATTGGCATTATGCATGACATACAGCCTAGGATGTCCCACGAAACATGACAGTAACAAGGTTGTCTTTAATCTTGAAAATTATTTGAGGTATTTATTCTTAAGCGTATTATTAAAACTGAAATTATAGAGTTAACTATCACAAAATACCACTTGTCTAGGCATTTGCAAAATGTGTTCGGCTTTTTGAGCTTTCAATATTACTGAAGAATTTTTTTCAGATTTCGAGAATTTTTCATAAAATTGAATGTCACAAATAAATTCAAAGATCAAAGTCTTTATACTGTCCAGTTTCGTGGGACACCCTGTATTAAACATACTTTTAATCTCCTGCAAATTTGTTAAAGGTTGGGATAAAATAACAATTAGTATTTTTTCAATTGGGATCATTCTGGCGGGTAACTTCTATAATACACTAAATTGACGGTAAGATTGTCAAATCTTAATTACAATTTCAATCAAAACTTGAAAATCTATTGAAACGAACAACAAACTTTTGAAATTATAATGTGTATCAAAATATTTTATGATAAAATATATATTTTCTTTGATCATACTCGTGCCTAAAATCAAAACTAAAGGAGCTACGAGGTCACAAAGTTATGCAGTGCTGGTGGTGATTAAGGATGTGTGTCGGTTTCTTCAATTTAAATAAAATCGTGTTAAGTCAATATTCAACTAAAGTTCTATTATGTTTTTTTTTATTGAAAACGCATCTGCATAAAAAAGAAGAAGGGAGACAAAATGATCAAGTTATGATCGAAAGTCAAAGCTTGCCGGGACAAGGAACGAACTGTTTGATCCAAACTAGAGGAGCTGCGAGGTCAATAAGTCGAACCAGTGAATCATCTGTTAGTAAGGATTGATGGTTGTTATACTAACAAGCATAGTTCTGCAGAACAACTCAAAAATAATCTTATTACTTTCTATCTTTTTGATTCCACTGCAAAAAAATGCATTTATTCAGAATATTTCCGCAAATGCGATTAAAGTAATAAATAAGGATCAATTAAAAAATACTAAATTTTCATTTGTAAGTTCTAAATTTTGTAATATATTTTTATAACACTGTTATGTTGGTTCGCAGTCTTATAAAGTTTTTAGATAGAAATTTTCTCTTGATTGAGAAGGTTCAAGTCTTTTCAGATTTACATTTGTCCCGAGCTTTAGCCGGGGACAAAATGTAATCTAAAAAGGCGATGACCTTCGAGATAAAGAGAAAATTAAAGTCCAAAAACTTTATAGCACGGCGTGCCAAAATAACAGTGTTATAGGTAATTATTTAAACGTTTGTGTACTTGTCTTATTTTTATGGAAAGTTCTGTAAATCAAATAAGCTTTTAAAAAAACAGAAGTAAAAAAATAAAGTTGATTTCAATTTTATTTTCAGTTCAATTGAAAAAAAATAGTTTGTAAATATCCTAAATTTTTTGGAGAAAATCCGGGAACCAATCAAAACTTTATAGCACACGTGCTGTAATGTACAGCTAATTTAACATTATAGCACGGCCACGATCATTACTTTATAGCACGTTCATTATGAAATTCAGGATGAAGTGAGGAAGAATGATAAAGTATGTACAATAGTTTCATAAAAAAAGAAACTGATTTTAATAAAAATTCAGTTAAATGATGGTCGCCCTTTTACTTTTTTTAATTGTTTAATGTTGGTAAATAATTTTAAATTTGTAAAATCTTAAAATTACCTTATTTCAAGTCTTTCATGGCAACCTTCATATTAGATTGGTATAGGTCCGATACACAGTGGGGCTCTTTGTACGTTTGCCTGATCAACAATTTCTATTATTCTGATTCTTTTGAAACATTTTTTCCTGATAAAAAACAACGGTGTCTTCTATAAATGTTTGATCAGTCCCTTTCATGTTTTGTTTCTAATATACTGCAGGGTGATCAGTCCCTTTCATGTTTTGTTTTTTATATACTGCAGGGTGATCAGTCCCTTTCATGTTTTGTTTCTTATATATTGCATGGTGATCAGTCCCTTTCATGTTTTGTTTCTTATATATATACTGGAGGGTGATCAGTCCCTTTCATGTTTTGTTTCTTATATACTGGAGGGTGATCAGTCCCTTTTATGTTTTGTTTCTTATATATATACTGGAGGGTGATCAGTCAGTCATTACTGTTTCAACTCAGCATGAGACAATCTCCTATATTGTACACTCAATAAAAACTATACAGGGGGAGGACCATCATCAACTCTGTTTTACTGATCATAATAAAATGTTTCAATCTTTCAATGTTTATATATCTAAAATTTAAATGTTTAAGCGAAACTACTTGCTGTTTCCATTTTTCTTTTTCCCCTCTGTTAATGTCATTATGGACCCCCCCCCCATCCTCCCCTAATGAGAATTTAAGAGCTTGTACGGTTTGTAGTCTTTTTATATAAATGCATGGTCACAACATCCAATATTTGTGGGGGAAGGCCCACCACACCCTTTTTTCCCGTCCGGAAAACAAATAACGTCATGCAATTTACCATTATTTTTTCCAACCACGACTTTTTTTCCGGACGCGACGTTGCTTCTAGTTTTGATTTGCTTGAGGATATATTATATATTATAATCATTATATTTAAATAACAATATCCTTGTTTTATGCCTAAATTGTATGTATACCTTTATTTAAGATGTTCTTCTTTAAAAAATAGGATAAAATATTTAAACCATTATAAACAACATAAAGTACCTCAAAATTCGGATAAAATAATAAAAAATACTTAATAAAAAGAATGTAAACAATCTGCAGGTGGGCGCGCAACTAGCCTGATTAAGGAGGAACATACCACTCCCCCCCCTTTAGGGGGGGGGCAAACCTTCTTTAAGCATCAAATTCCTCATTGTAGAAATATCATCTCCCGACTCACACATTCGCACATTAGTCCAATTCGTCCAATCGATATAACCCTTAGAGGAAAGAATTTAAATTGAAGACGACGAGATGACAGATCACTGTTTTAGAAAATGCCGCAACAAATTAAATATGTAAATTCTACCTGTGAATCAGAAAATTCGGCTGAAAGCAAAAAGAGGAGTTTTGGGAAACCCAGCGTAGCTATGGCAATGAAATTTGACGAGGATGGATTAAGAAACTTTAAGGATTTCTTACTAACATATAATAAATTATCTGAGGCCTGTTTCAACACTTGTATCCTAAACTTTAACTCAAGGTAGAGGTAACGTGTTTGAATCAAGTTGAACCTGATTTTCAACTTTATTTACTTTCTTTATCC